GTCCCATTGCCCTCAGAAGTTGTGGGGTGACAGCCTGTAGCAACCCCTAGCCCTTGGAATTCCCTCCCCACAGAGGTGCATCTGGAACCTTCATTATACTGTATATAGGTTTTGTTGTATGCTGAAACCACATCTCCTTACCCTGGCCTCTGACACTTGAAATATATTTTTTGGAGCTACCCTCTTCTTCTTACTGTAAATTGTTTCAATGGGTTTTAATATTTAATATTGTATTTTTTATATTATTGCAACTCATCCATGGACCTTATGGTGAAAAGTGGTAAGAAATACAACAAGGACAACCAATAGATGCATACATATACATATATATATATATATATATGCTTTAAAAGTATAGGTGTTCACTGTCCAAAATTACATACTGCAGGGTATAGAAAAATACATAATAAATTTGATGTATTTTTGCTATCCTGCAATATATGTTAAGATTATGAATATTAAAAAAATTGAAGATACATATTTCTACATATACATGTCATCTAGAAGCTAATGTTTCCTGTTAAAACAGCTTCCACTCAAATGCCAAGAAGCAGATTTTTAATGTATGGAAGAATCTTGGGGAAGTGATTAATTTCTCAGCCTCAGGTTCCCCATCTGTAATAATGAATAACTTATATAAGCTACTTTGTATACATTGGATACAATATTTTCCAAACAACATTTAAGGGGGATAGGATACAAAAAAATATTGCATGCTGACTGGGGATGATGGGAGCTGTAGCCCCAAACATCAGGAAGTTGGCAAAGACTGTTCTAAAAGGAATATCCCTTCCTGCCTCTAAGCCAGGCATAGGCAAGCTCAGCCCTCCAGATGTTTTTGGCCTACAACTCCCATGATCCCTAGCTAGCAGACCAGTGGTCAGGGATGATGGGAATTGTAGTCCCAAAACATCTGGAGGGCCAAGTTTGCCTATGCCTGCTCTAAGCATCATTATCAGGGCTGTTATACTATGGTCTATAAGCAAGAACATATTTATCAGAGAGAAAACAGCTGAGGATTACTTTGACTAGTGGGTCGTCTCCAGTGGTCACCAATTTTGATGCCTTCTAAGAAATAAAAAGTAAAGCACTGCATCTTAGATAAGTGCTGAGACATCAGTTTAAAACACCTCGGGTCAATATCCCTCACATTTATCTGGCTGTATTAAATATACATATATAGTCGGCAAGGAATTAATACTGTATCGTAAATATCTTTTGATACAAGCTACTCCCAGAGCAAAGGTTCTTTCACACCTTCATCAGTTTGAAACTGGTATACCCCATGAGGCAGATAAGGTTATAATTCTGGCATGCCAAGCCTAGATAGAGACAGTGGCTGATCATTATCTACAAAGAGATGGACTTCTTTAAATATAAAAAGTAATTGTACAGCACTTTTAAGCTGTGCAGCCCAAGGAGCTGTGAGCATTCATCTTTGTGGTGATTCTAAAAATAACTAGTTTGCCCTCTTTAAAAAAGCGAGAGGGGGGAAAGATTAAAAAATAAGGTGACTTATTGCTTTGAAATCGGGATCATCCAAAGCATATTTGCCTTGCCCTCGAGACAGAAGTCACTGGAGCAACTGTTCTGGCATAAAATCAGTATGGCTATAGCCTCAATATTACTAATGGCAAGGTTTAAATGTATATTAATGTCACAGAATTGTAGAGTTGGAAAGGAACTCAAAGGTCATTTAGTCCAATCCCCTGCAATGCAGGAATCTCAACTCAACATCCATAACAGATGTCCATCCAATCTCTGCTTAAAAACCTCCAAGAAAGGAGAGTCTACGACATTCAAAGGGAGCCTGTTCCACTGTCAAACAGCTCTTACTGTCAGAAAGTTCTTCCTGCTGTTTAGTCGGAATCTCCTTTCTCATAACTTGAAGCCATTGGCTCAAGTCCTCCCTTCCTGAACAGTAGATGGTCCATCTTCCATGTGACAATCCTTTGGATATTTGAAGATGGTTATCATATCCCCTCTCAGTCTCCTCTTTTCCAGGCTAAACATACCCACCTCCTAAACCATTCATCATAAGGCTTAGTTTCCAGACCCTTGATCATCTTGGTTGCCCTCCTCTGCACATGTTCCAGCTTGTCAACGTCCTTCTTGAATTGTGGCGCCCAGAATTGGACACAGTATTCCAAGTACGGTACTGCTATTTACCTTCATTTGGACACTATACTTCTGTTGATGCAACCTAGAATAGCATTAGCTTTCTCTATGCATTAAGTCCTTCTCCCTCACTGCAAATCAAAAAATTATATTGAATCCTCTCTTTTCCCTTTTTCCATCGGGCGCTTCACACTTTAGAGGTCACATTTCCAAAAGCGTTTTTTTGTCTGCAGTTCTGCAGGGCAGAAAACTTTTGAATTCAAAATGAAAACTGAAACTCCTGCGCAAACCCATTCCAGCAGAAAGGAATAAAAGGAAAATGCTGTAAGAATCATACATTAAATACATTTAGTAGGGTGCTCCACCCTCTGCACCCATCACTGCACCATAATGCAAGAGAATGGGACTCACTGGAAGTGGGACCCCTCTAGACCATTCAGCCCCATTCTGTCTTGTGCAACTAGTGAAATACCTTCTTGCACACAGTGCAGTGACAGCGCATGGTGTGAGAAGCAGATATGTAGGTTGCGTCTTCCAACTCCCAAACAGCAGCCATCATCCCTGACAGAAGAAGACCCATTTTTGAGAGAGGTGTGCTGCTGTTACCTTCACTGTGTCGTTTTGCCAGTGCTCAGCATGCAGGTCCATAGCCCACAGCACAAATAAGAACTGGTCTGCTGCCCAGAAAGTCCCTTGTAGAGATGGATTGTGCTATGACTAGTAACACAGAATTGGTACCACGGTGTATATTTTAATTTGCTGCAGAGTCAAAAATATATTATTCGGACAAGTGTGTTCCTCTGATAGGCATCCATTTTCCGTATACACAAGCAGGCCACAGCCATCCTGTAAATCCCAGGGTGCTACTGAAGTAGAATGATTAACAGAATGCCATTTCTAGAGAGTTGCAAAATGTGATTATGTGCAGCCCCTGATTTAAGAGCAAAGTAACGCTGTAATTTAGTAATTGGCTCACAAACACTTGCAGGTACAATTCCATCTCTGGCCATAAATCGTAAAACTGAATGTGTGGCCCCAGGTAATCCACACCACCTGTGTGCCTCCATGCCCTACTTTGTAATATATAGCTAACACCGGTGCGCCTCGTGGATTTTCCTTAATTGTCAACTAAGGCCCTATTTCCAATGTTTCTCTTCCTTGTAATGCTAACTTTCCATCAGGAAGCTGCTGCTAAGTCCCAGTCTCGTCAACACATAGTATAGCAAGCCTAGGTATGAGCTGATGGAATTGTAATGAGTCATCAGGTCTATGCACACGAATAACATGAAATATTATGTGTATCTATATTAACAGTGCTGGGAACAACTCAGTCATGTCAATGAAACCTTTAAAAAAAAACCAACCCTGAAGAATATGTAACCTGCGCATAAAATCTTGTGAACAATCCTGTAATGTCATATCTGGAGAAGTCTGCAAAAGTCATGTTTATGAGCTGGCTGGCAGGTAACTGGAGTTCTAATCAAATCTTTTCATTCATTCTTGGAAATGAACTGCCTCACCTCTGGTTCCTTTACACAGGAAGCCACCTTGTACCAAGACAAACAGTCCATCACCATCAGTAGCCATTGTCTACACCCAGGATGGGAACCTGTGGCTCTATGGAAGACGTTGGACTCCAACTCTCATCAGCCCTGGCCACATTGGCCCATGGTCAGGGATGATGGGAGCTGTAGTCTAGCAGTATCTGAAAGTCCACAGGTTCCCTGTTCCCAGAATGCACTCACTAGCAGTAGATCTCCAGGGTTTCAGATAGGGTTATTTCCCAGCCCAATGTGGAAAAGCCAGGAACTGAACCTGGGATATATATTTTTCTGCAACACTCACACTGTGTTTGACTGCTCAACTGCAGCCCTACTGCACATGAAGTGAATCCCATGATCTTCTAGCCAAGCATAATGTATCAGGCCACTGCAGCGTTGTGAACTGCTTGCACTGAGCACCCACATGTCCAGGATATCGACCACAATACTGTTGGCATGGGCAAAAAAGACATGATATGGGAGGAAAGCTCTTGCCCATCAATGAATCTCTTTTCCTTGCATTCACCTCTCTTTTACACCTTCTCTGTCTACATAAATCAGTTAAAAAGGAAGCAATTTACTGTTGTTCTGGGATAATCCCTGTAGGGCGTGATTTCAGGTGCGTATCGTAATCAAACTTGTCATGCCCATGAGACCTCTTCTTCTTGGAGCCTGCGATGTGTATTGCAGAGGACTCAGGGAAGGTATGACTTTAGACAGCTAGCCTGCCAACTGTGTGTCTCTAAAGGGGAGAATGTCAATCAGCGAGACAAATGCTTATTCTCCAGCCTCCCTTAGGTATACAATGACATCTTTTGCAACAAGAATGCCGTTTCGCAACCATATCCAAAAATAGTTCTTTCACCATTAAGCCTAATGTGCCACCGATGATTCTTTTCCTGTTATATCTGTCTCTGGTTTGCTATTCGGTTGATGACGGGGTTCAGTCCCGATGTAATGAACATGCAACGAATCCCAGCGCTGTGTGACAAAAGTGTACGATACTAGCATATTCTATCGCTCTGGGGTGCTACAAAAGTCGTATATTACTGTATATAGGTTAAACTACGGGGAAAACATGAAATACGTCACTGTAATGAACAGATTTTCATGGAAAGGCTTTTCTCTTGGGACAGATCAGGTTGGTTTGGAATATGATGCGCGTCTTCCTAGTTTCCCCTCTCTAAACCAGCCTGGGAGATGATTTTGTCCCGGACCTGGAGAAGGTAACCCGGGCAGGGCCCAGGATCAATTGTTAAAAGTAGTGGGAGGGGCGTAAAGTTTCCGGGTGACGTCAGCCGCCCGTGGCCCCACCCTTCCTGGGCGGGCCCTTGTCAGTTTCATCCTTTGTAACTTTCCCACTTGGAACTCAACTGAGATGCTCAACTTGCGAGGAGCCGCGGAGCACCGAGCGCTCTCGGCTCCATCTTCAGTCGACGGGATCCTACGGCGGATTCGGACGCCACATCTCGCCTTGCAACCCTGCAGCCACCCTCGCCCCGGGAAGAGCCGGGCGGGCTATTGAGGAGGGCCGATCACCACGGGGAGGGCGAGAAGTCCCCGTTGCGAGAAATAGGGCAGCTTCCCCCCCCGCCGCCACCGGAACGCTTCCCACCCCTCTGATCCCATCCAGCGGCAGAGCAGATTTGCAGGTGGGTCTTGGCGCGGCGCGGGGCCCCTGTTGCTTGCTGCAGTGAGGCGAGGGGAGGAGGGCCCCTGCTGGAGCCTCGGCGCCGGAGACGGCTAGGAAGACACCCGGGCATGTGCCGTAAGAAGCTCGGTCGGCAAGCTTTCCCTCGCGGGGTTCTGAGGCTGCGGCTGTAAGGGGGAAAGGCTGCGCGTTGGGAAGTAGGCGCCTGTCCCGCCGCGGAGCTTGGGGAGAAAGTGGCTTCCCTGCGGCGATCCAACCTGTGGGGTCGACCGGGCTGCGCGCGAACGCTCCCCTTCGTTGCCGCCGCGAATTGCTCGGAGTGTTTCTGCGCTGCACCTTCACTTCGGCAAAGTGACTCCGAGCTGAGTAATTGCGGGTCTTCATTCCCGCACCTACCCACCCACTCGCGCTGTCTTGATTTCCCCAGCCCGTGCAGTGAGCGCGCGCACACACTCAAATATTAATTGGGGGGGGGGTCCGCGCGCAAAAAGGGGGTTCAGAGTGGGACGGGGGCGGTGGAGTCAGGAGGCTGGCGGAGGGTTAAGAAAAGGAGCCAGCTCAGACCCCACGTGGAAGTCGATCTGCAGCTGCTGCAAAAGGAACGGGCGTCTGCTCCCTTTGCTGCTCGGTGCGCGCGCCCACCCTCTCCCGCGGCGATCGGGGATTCTCGCCTGGGCCCGGGGCAGAAAGAGGCACGTCGCCCCCTGTGGGGCGGGAGGTGCTGTCGTCGTCTGCGCGCTTCTCATGGGAAAGACTCGGCGAGGCTGGCTTCCCAGCCTTGCGCAGAGAGCCATGGAGGCGCGGGGTAGGGGCAGCTCGGATTCGGGCTGGCCACGCGGCAAATGCGCGCGCGCGCGGGGGGGGGTCTGCTTCCGAGTCAGGCGTCCCCTCCTCCCACTGAGACTCTTTTGGGGTCCTTCTCGCCTTCCTTTACTCCCGTAGCACAGGAGAGAGAGAGAGAGAGAGAGAGAGAGAGAGGAGGCAAAGCTTCCTCGGCTTCACTTTCCCCGGCAATCCATGCGCGCGCACGGGGCTGGTGGAAGCAACGTACAGGTTGCAGCTATGCGCTTGCAAGTTTCGTGCCTCGAGAAAAGGTTGGTGCCGCCGGCTAGTCCGGATGGGACAATCTGCGGAAGCCCAACTGGAGCTGGTGGCATTAGCCGGCGTTAGCAACTGTAATTCCACACGCACACATCAACTCTTTCTCGCTGCCGCCCGCTCCCCCTCTCCCCGAGCAGATTCTGCTATTTTGATTTCCTTTTCCCCGCCCATCAACTCGCTCTCTCGCGCTTATTTCCATGACAACAGCGAATGTCACAACTAAAAGATTCTGTCTTAATTGCAGGTTGGAGAGTGCGGGGGGGGGGTGTTGTTTTGAGAACAGGAGTTTTTATGCTTCGATTCAGATCCAGGCTAAAGAGGCCTCTAAAAAGGGAACGATCTCCATAGACTAGAAGATCTGCGCTCAGACCGTGCTTGGGGAGGCATCTTGTAAGTTTAGCGGTTCTGTTTTGGCGCCCGGGTGGAGATGCTGCCCGCCTCCCCTGGCCTTGTGGGTGGGAAGCTCGACCTGCGTTTTCTCGCATGTGTGTTCCTCGGGCTACGGCGTGTCCCTCGCTTTCTTGTCCTTCGTTACAGAAACTCCCGGGGTTGGAGTGCGCAGCGCCACCAGCGTTCGCTGTGGTTCGCAGAAGAGTGCCCGCGGGGCTGCGTTAGCAAACAGAACTCATCCGCAAGGAAGGAGGCGCGCTCAACTCCTTTGCCCTGGCTTTGGGTTTCTCTGTGTTTTATTTAATCTCCCGATAAGCTAAGATTCGAAGGGGTGGCTGCTGAGGCTTTTAAATACCCCCTATATGCGCTCATATCCAGTTAAGATTATTAAGATCCGTACAGAACTTAGAGTTCATTTTTAATAACAGAGCAGCCTTTTTGACTAGGGCTCCAGAGCACGGATAAAACAACTCACCAAGAAAACCTCTTCTATAGATATATATTTGGAGTGGGGTGTAAATATCATCTGGCATTGTTTTGGACCAGCTCTGTAAATCTCTGCCTTCCACAGCCATAAACATTGTGACTAGCCAAAATAAAAGATCTCCATTTTTTATTTTTGTTTTAAACCCTCAAACTGATGCCTGTATTGGGATATATTAAATTCATTCGCAGTCAGGGTGGGAAGTATTTCAGAGGCCTCCTGCTTATATGTGCTTTTTCAGAGCCCTGTTGCCATATCCTAAAATCACATCCGCCTTAAACATACTGGATTACTAGGGATACAAGAAGGGCTAATTAATACATGCTGAAGAGGGTGGATCTCACTTCATATGCCTGTTGGCACCCTAAAGAGGAAACTATGCCATCTGAAACAGAAGATCCCTTTCCTGCCAATTCGTATTGGATTCTTTTCCTACCTTTGCCATATTAGCATCATTTGACTGAGCTAGGGATATTGGAGTTGCAGAAGAAGACTCCTTCCACCTCTGTGCCTCCCCAAATGCTCAGGGACTCTGAGCAAACCTTGTCAACAAAAGTAAGAGAACTCCGTTTGGGCTCACCCCTAGGCCTCGGGTCCCAGCAGCTGCAAATGACATGCACTGTTTTCATTATCAGTAGCAGTGTGAACCAATTAAAGGATTTTTAGTTGATTGATCATCTGCCTCCTTAATTAGCAGATTATAACTTTAGCTAGTTATAATTTGATTGAGTTTTCACATTACAAAACATCATTAATAGGTGCCAAAGAGCTACCACTTGTTCTTAAAAAGACTGTCTTTAATATTTTTCACTTGTGACTCTTAAAGGTATTAACAGGATGAGATGAGTTACAGTTACATACTAGAACCAAAATATTCTCAAAAGTGGAGAAGTGTGCCATTAATCTGAAGTCGCCTGATTAAAAATTACACTCTGGTTACAATTGGCTCCTGGAAGCTTTAGATAATTGGTCTACTTATTAAAGCATGTGGCCCTTGCTGTCACGTTTCACTTTCCACAGAGCTGCCAATGAGCCCCTTCTGATTCCTCCCTGTGGAGCCCTGTGGCCTATGCCCATTGTTGGTCATTCCCAGAACTATGTTGGATTTTCTGCCTTCACAGTGATTGTGTGCCCCAAAAGACACTTCAGCTCAGAATTCCTTAAACCAAAAGGATATATAGTGGGGGTTTTTTTAAGTAAACACTTTAATGGATCATCTATTAAGGTCTGAGCTTAGAAAACAAAACAAAAAATGGCTGCACTTTTAAAATGTAATATGTGGAGTCCAATCCTATGCATGTTTACTCAGAAGTTAGCCCCAGGGTCTTTTGTGTGGTTCACTCTCTGAGAAGTGTGCATAGGAGTGCAGCTTTAAGAATTAGTTGTGCAACAGTAGCAGCTTCCTGCGACAATGACTGTGGATCTTACTGAAAAATCTGCCATATTGGTGCAGACTCATAACATACATAACCGGTACATCCTCCCCACAGAATGTCCTTTGAGGTATATTTTATAAATGCTGGAAAGTTTCTGGAAGCCAAACCTTTCTTTGGCTTTCTGCTTCAGGACATCTGCTCCTTCTCCCTTACATTCTGAAAAGGAAAGAGGGCTCACCTAGTCTTACTCAAGTTAATTGAAAGTTGGGTGCAAATGAACACAAGTGCATCTGGGCTCAAGATAAGAGAGAATCTTATGTTGGATGGAAATCAGCTTTAAAAAAAAAATACAATGTTAGGCATGGCACCTTGTAAACAGAGAGAGATGGGGAACCCTTGAGCCAGCAAGTGCCGTTGAGCAGATACACACAGAATTCCTGGAATGGTCTGCACGTTGCCCTTTCAGCTATCATCTTATGACTTGGCAGAGCTAGAATTCCCCAAACCCACCTCCCAGCCTATCAACTCAAATCCAAACAGGCATGTGGAAAAACAGGCCATCTTTCAAAATTCACATGTGTTTTATAAAGATTTGTGAACTGGAATGGGCAAGTCACCTGGTGGTGTGTGCCTTTTCTGCAAAATCTGCCTGGACCCTTCAACTTGTGCTTTCACATGCATTTCTTCATTAAGGGGTTAAGCATTGCTATGAGCCACAATGACTGCGTACTACTATCCAGTATCGGAGGTAGAATGCTTTTGAATTCCAGTTGTTGAAGAGCACAAGTGGGAAGAGTGGTGTTGCACTCATGTCCTGGTTTGCAGGGTTTTTGTAGGGAATTGGTTGGCCACACTGGAAAGCGGGTTGCTGAACAAGATAGGCCTTGGGGTCTGATCCCACAGGGATCTTTTTGTGTTCTTATGATTCCATAGGATTGGTCCCTAGGTTCCATAGGTTTGGCTGCACATTGTTTTTTAATTCATGAGCTTTCTGATATATCCCCTTCCTCCATCATCCTGCATTGTGAATGACAGTTGAGTTGTATTCGTGCAGATGGATTGTGCAGTTGGCACATAAAATGGCTTCAATCACATGTGCAGATTAACTGATCTCCTACTGTAATGGAGGGTGAGGGGAGGACCTGTTCTGCCCCTCATTTATTTTAAAGCCCAAACCTGTAGCTCAGCTTCACAAGCCTTGGTGTATTTTGCTTTCATGGCCCTGGGGTGCCTTCTTTCCCCCAAGGCGCTTAAGATAAATACTGCATACGGAGCTCTTGACGCATTTCACAGACAGAGTTCACTGTTGAGATGAAAAGCCTTCAGCTCAGGAATAGATTCAGGATGGAGACGGTCTTTCTTCCCCCAGTTGAAAGAGGTTTGAAATAAAGGTGGCTGCTTTCGGTGGGTACATTTCATCCCACCTCTGCAGCCACTAAAGAGATTTTGCAAGTTCCTGAATTGTTTAAAAAATAAAAAAAAACCGACCAGAATTCAGAGTGAGTCAAAAGAAACGTGTGGGCAGCTCTCGCAATGGGAGGTGATGCCTCTCTAAAACCCATGCAAAACACTCTTTAAAAACAATTCCCTTTCTCCAACCTCAGTTGATAGAAGCGGCTGTTGGCGCCCCTTTGGGGTAGAGAAATGCAC